TTCAGCAAAAAGTCTGAATTTTTCAGCAATTTTCTGGTCAATAAGACATTTTGTAATTTTATTTTCACTAAATAGTAATAATAAGTTAAACATTTAAAATCTCAAGAGGCCTCTACAAAATTAGGGGTCTTTCATTTATTATTTTCTTGGTCAATTTATACTTTCAGGCAGGAAGCAATAGCATAACAAATGGAGTTTGTGTCCATCTGCAAAACTTTTATACAGGCTCTCTTTTATAAAAGTGTATAGCAAACATTAGTAGTTTTACTACCTTAAACAATAAAAATAGGCCCTCTAATACTTAGACCACCTGCATTGCGGGCCTAAACGTTATGCCACTGTTAAGGGTTACCAGACGTCCTGATATTTGAAGCTTGTCCCGACTGTCCTGATTTGTTGTCAAAAAAGCCCTGATTTTTTAGTATGTCATCTAATTATTGTTTATTGTAATTTTAATATTTTTAACATAAATATACAAAAATTAAAACTGCTTCAGAAAAAAAAACGTGATACTAGAAGTGAAATTTAGTGTTTCTAACTATTAGAACTGTCATATTCTTTTAGGTATGTCTTGTCCTTATATTGTATGGGAAATATTGAAACAGAGATAGGATGAATTCTTAATCATAAAGCTGCCGTAGTCATAATTTACTGTACATTGCAGAATTAACATGTAAATTTATATCTTCTGTAGTAGTACAAAAACTGCACCGTATGTGTTTATAAAAATGACCTAGTTTTTTAACCCAATTTTTTTTCAACTAGGTGTCTGGTAACCTTGTAGCATTTTTAATTTAATGTTAAATGTTTGTAATATTGGAAAAGCAATTCACTTTTAGAATTCTTCCACCTTCACCCTACTGCTAGATACTATTGAAGTTAATGGATCATTGATTACTTGTGTAAGTTTATCTTCTTATTTTCTTTTGATATTTTTAATGAAGATAAATCAGTTGGTGTAGGGAAATCAGGTTCTTCATTGGTTACACCATTGGTGACTTTGGTACTTGTTGATTGGTACCATTAGTGTGCTTTGAAAATTGTCGATAATTCCCCTATTTGCGAAGCGAGGAGGAATTTCCAAAGCACGAGTGATTTCTAATAGGACTATTCCTATATTAAAATCAAAAAGGTGTTATCATTACACAGGCGGTTTATTGGACATCGACAGAGCGATAATGTAGATCTTAAGACGAATCACAGATTGTGATTGGTCAGAAGGGAGAAGCGCGCAAGAAAAATATTTTAAAAAAGCGATTAACCTTTTTGAGATATATTGATTAGGGGTTATATTAGTTCTTAGTTAAACACTATTGGTTTTAATGTCAAGAGTTAAATAGCTTATTTTAACCACTGGCGCGTGGAGATTAGGCAGTTGACTGTGACGCAAAACTACGCTCATTTGTTTCGCCACTATCCACCATTTCAAAGCAATGGCGTCAGGCGTTTCGCCGAAGCGCGTATAAATGTTTAGAGCCAGAAAGAGGTTAGAGTTGCTGGATTACTCTAGAGTAATTCAATGAAAGTTAACTGAAGATTACTCGAATATCTTGTATTTGTTCAGTGAGAAGAAGATAAGCGGTCACAACTTTTTGGTCCGAAATGAAATTGCTACAATTCATTCAGCAGCACGCTCGTCCAAGTAATTACGTACGAAAACGTTTGGGCTTGCGAAGAGCGAACACTTTAGCGCACACACCCGACGTGAAAGAAGAAGATGTCACTTTGGTGGATTTGAAGCCTACTAAACAACCGTTCGTGAAGAATTTATTTCTTGGCAAGTTTGACACAGATATTCTTACTTTTCCAGAAGCTCTGGAAATCGACAGGTTAAAGGACTTGGAAAATAAAATTGTACCTGTCGAAACGGCTATCGTGAAAGATGCATCGAATTCTAATTCTCGAGAAATGCTGAAAGAATTGAAGGCGCTGGGTTTCTTTGGGCTTCAAGTTCCACATGAATATGGAGGCCTTAATTTAAATGCTACAGAATATGCAAGGTTTTGTGAAATCATATCACAAAATGTACCTTTAGCGATTTCTCTTAATTCACATCAAACTTATGGTGTAAAAGGCCTACTTCTTGCGGGAAACAAGCAGCAAAAACAAGAATATTTATCTCGCCTAGCTTCAGGAGAATGGACAGCTGCTTTTTGTATTTCAGAACCAAGTGGTGGAGCGAACCCTTTAGGAGTTGACACAAAAGCAACACCCTCAGAAGATGGAGAAAAATGGTATATTAATGGCAGTAAAATTCTTATCAATGGTGATGGGAATGCTGACCTTATAACAGTGATAGCCCAGACTGAGGCACAAGAATTAGGTGGCAAATATTCTAGTTTAACTGCCTTTCTAGTTGAGCGGACGTTTGATGGTGTGCTGTTTAAGAAAACTGATGACGTAGTTGGGAATCGAGGAGTAAATATTTGTGAAGTGAAATTCAAAAATACTCCTGTTCCAGTAAAAAATGTGCTTGGTGAAATTGGAGATGGTTTCAAACTTAGTGCTGACATCTTAGGAAATAATAGATTCAGTACTGGGAGTTTTTCAGCAGGAATTTTAAAAAGTCTAATGGAAAGAGTTTCAGAACACTGTGTTAGTCAGAAACAATTAGGAAAAAATATGATGGATTTTGAATTAATTCAAAAAAAAATAGGGGAAATTGTTTTTTCAATTTATATTCTTGAAAGTTTAACATATTTAACAGCAGGAATGTTGGACAATTATGATAACTATGATGCATCAGTAGAAAGTGCTATTGTTAAAGTAGCGAGTTCTGAAATGTTGAATACCAGTATTTTAGAAATTCAGAATATTTTAGGTGGTGTAGAATATTTCAAAAACTGTGCTTATGATACAATACTGAGAGATTCTAAAGTTTATATGCTATTAGAAGGGTCAAATTATGTCCTCCGTATGTTTATTGCGCTTAGTGGGCTTCAGCATGCAGGTGCGATGTTGAAAGATGATGTAGAAAAGATTCGAAATCCTACCATGCACCCAGGTTACGTATTTAAAAAAATTTTTGAAAGGAGAAATCATATGAAAGACAACCCTAAACTGACAATTGGTTTAGATGGCTATGTTCACCCTACATTAGGGAAAGCAGCTCAAGAACTTGAATATGGTGTTCTCAGATTGCAGTTTGTTGTTGAAATTTTATTAGGGCGCTATGGACGTGGCATAACAGAGAGGGAAATAGAGCTTAATCGACTAACAGACATTGTTATGGGACTATACATAATGACAGCTGTGTTAGCTAGAGCATCTCGTTCGTATTGTACTGGAATTCATGATGCTGACTATGAAGTTAATATTGCTCTTACGATTTGCCATAAAATTTTAGAAAAGCTGAAACAGAATGTGCAATATATTGAAAATGGTCCAATTTTGTGTTTTGATCATAATTACAGGAAAGTTGCTGAGAAAGTATTCAGCCAAAAAGGATATTTTCTTGACCATCCACTATCTAGAAATATTTTCTAATAATGTACAGGTTGAATGTAATGTATATAGTTCAAACACAGACTGTTATATATACGAGTTTAAATCTGATACTGGATTTCAAT